AGCCGAAGGGTCCAGAGAGAGAAGCCCTCCCTAGGGGAGCCTTGGGGGCTCCCCCAACCTCGTCTTGGGGCTCGGCCCCCGACGCTGCTTGGAGGAAAGGCCGGTGCTCCCACCTTCTGTGAGTAGGGGAGTCCAGCTTTGGAGGGAAGGCGGGGCTGGGGAAGGAAGGGTCCGCTGGGGAAGAGGGCACCCTGTGGGCATTGGAGGAAGGATGGAGGACTGGAGAGGCCCTGTACTGAACCAGTCTGTCCAAGCTTGGGGGTGGGGGTGGGGGGGAAGGAGGACCACAGCTAGAGTGCCCCAGAGGAGGCTGAGGACTTATGCCCCTAAACCAGGGGCTCCTCCACTATTCCTATAGAAGAGGGGTGTGCTGAAAACCATCTGCCTCCACCACCCCTCCCCAAAAACAAAAATAAATAAATAAATCTCCAGCGATGAAGGAGGGTGCAGGCAGGGAGAAGAGGGAGGCATCAGCAGCAGGCTGGTGCAGCAGCCTGGGAGGGCTGACGCCAGGCTCGCTCTTTCTGCAGGGGGCTGCCCTCCTCCAATCCAGGTCCCTCTACAGCGCTGTTCACATCTGGAGCCCCCTCCACATCCGGAAGACCCTGACCACCGTCCCTCTGCAGGTTCGGCTGCATCTAGAGACCTCTGCCTTTGTAACTGCCTAGGAGTTGAGAGGGGATTGCTGCCTTCCCCCATCCCAAGGGCATCTCTTACCCTTAGTCCTTGCAGAATCATCCCCCTGCCTCCACACCCAGATTCAGGCAAAGATCAGCTCTGTACACCACAGGCACTTCAAGTCCTGGAAGCTGTTCTTGGCCCTAAGGCCCCTCCCCTTGCCCTCCTGTGTCCTCACCTTGACCCCCCCCAAGACTCTGTCTCCCTCTGGGTGCTCCATCCCCCACCCAGAGGCAAAGTAGGTCGAGTAGCAGGCTGAAGGGACTGGGTGAGGGCCGCCCAAGGCCAGGGTAGGCTGGGGGGCTGTTAAAATGTGGAGCTCTGCCCGGCCGAGGGGGGCTCCGTGGAGGCAGGCAAAGCGTGTGCCCCGCTGGGGCGAGTATGGGCAAGCTTGCGGCCACGTGGTGAAGGATGAACATTCGGGGTGCCCCGGACCTCGGGCAGCCCAGTGACGACCCCAACAGTGGTGGAGAGAGAGAGCGGATTCGACAGCGCATGAAGATGGTCATCGGGCAACTTGAAGGCATCCTGAGGGAACTCAAAGAAGTGGCTAAGGAGCTGAGGGAGGTGAGTGAGAGGCGAGCAAGGGCCACACAGACCCAAAACCCTGCCTGACTGAGCTCAGCATCAAAACATTTATATGTGTTTGAGTGTGCACATGGCCCATTCCACAGAGGACCACCCTTCCCGTTCTCCTTTCCTCATGTCTGTTTTGCTTTAAAAAAAAAAAAAAAAAAAAAAAAAAACCACCACCCCCAGAGCTGGGGGGGCCTTGGAAAAAAAAAAAAAAAAAAAAAGTCACCATCCCCAGAGCTGGTGGGGCCTTGGTGTGGCAGTGACTGCTTGAGCAGGTGCCAGTGGGACCAGCTCTATAGTTAGTACTCAGGGTACCCAATGAGAACTAAATCTGCCCCAGTCCATTCTTCATGGGACACTTTCTTCTGAAATCCAAGCTGTCCCTAGACCCTACTATTTACCTCTCAGACTGTGAGCAAGGACTCTAGGAGAGTGGATGGCTCTACTTAGTCAATCTCCACAGCTTGAGGTCCAGCTCAAAAAGTATTACTTAAGGGATCACACAGATACTCCAAACCCTTAATTTCCAAAAGGGGAGAGGAGTTAAAACCAGTTGTGGCCTCCCTATCCTAGAGTAAGAATGTGGCTGGGAGCTGTTGGTGGGGATCGGAGGCTCTTCTGTACACCAAAGAGGAGATAGGTCTTTTTATGGATATGTGCCCCCCCCACACACACAGGGCATGCTTCGGGATGGTTTTTGCAAAGACCAAAAAGTCACCGAGAAACCCTCTCTGGCTTTCTAATCAGAGCCCAGTTTAATTACTGCTTCCCACATTGCTGGAGTAATGAGGTACACATGTCTTCCACCCTGCCCCCTGGGCTGTGTTCAAGTCCAAAATGCATGACCAGCGTTCTGAGCCGCTGGCCTGAATTTGCCCACTGGGTCCCATTTCACCAGTCAGGTGGGCTTTAGGAAACTTTCAACTCTTTGTAACCAGGGCCCCTGCAGGAATAGAGAGAGAATGGATCATTCTGAGTTATGAATTCAAGCTCCCCTACCAGCTGTGTATGGGGGGAGGGAGCTGTAGGAGACTGAGGACATGGGGCAGGCTGTGAGCAATGTGGCTTTCCAACATGGCCTGAATTCAAGGCAGGGAGAGGGGTTGTTTGAAGGGAACTGTGAGTAGGAGGGTGACAGAGATGTTTGGTCTGTTAGGGTAGTGCAGCTGGGGTTCCAAGGTTCCTGGCAGGCTTCATGAAACCTGCCAGGAGATCCTGTCTCCAGAGGTAGGCAGGCAGAGGCGACGGTGTGCCTGCCCACATCCCTGCCTGCTGTGGTCTGGACTCCATAATACAGTTCAGAAGTCAAAGACCACAAGTCCCTGGACAACCCTTCCTCTGACCTTATGAATCCAAAGGATTAGAGCATCCTCTCCTACCCTGTCTTATTTTGGATGGTTTTATCAGAGCCATGGGAACTGTCCAAAGTTTCAGTCTCAGGCAAGGTCATGGGACCCCCAACCAGAGCTGGTATTATCTATAATCCTGAGTCAGCCTTGGTACAACTCCCAGTGGGGCAGACTCCTGCCTCTTCTCCCTCAGCATAATCATCCAGAAATTTAAGGGATCTCACAGGTAGTCCAGGCAAGCTCTGTCCACTTACTATTGAAGAAACTGGGGTCCAGAGAGGAATAGGGGCTGGCCCAAGGCTACACATCCCACTCATGACAGAATTGAGCCTAGAATTCAAGATTCCCAATGCCAATTTGAAGCTTCAGCAGGTGGGCTATTGTATAACCTCAGCATTTTGACAGGAGCTTCCAAGAGATGTTTGATGCTTGTGATGTGGTGCCCAAGTGCTAGGGTTAATTTGTGGAGCTTTTCAATGTCCCCACCTTCCCTTTCATGCTCACTGACTCCCAGGCCCCTCACTCCAGAGCTCCAGGTGATAGTCTGTACACACCAGAGGTCTGAAGCAGGATAGAGTGATGAGTCCCATCCCCCACATCTGTAGGCCATGTGTCTCCACCCAAGACTTTGGCAGGTTGCTATGGAAACCAGAGTCTACCCCGTATGCCACTGCTTGTCCGCTGCCAATGGTACCCAGCTGGGTGGGGGTTGAGCCTCAGAGCTCCCTAGTCCCCCAGAAAGGGGAGGTATACATAGGGTAATGGGCAGAGAGGAAGGGAGACTCAAGCAGAAGAGCTATCATAACCACCTTCCAGTAGGCTGGGGTTTGTTGGGGACAGGAGTGTCTGTGGGTCTCAGATCCTGGTTTCAAACTTGTGATGTAGCTCTAGGTCCTTTGGAAGGACATAAAGCCGATCTGTCTGGCTCCATTCAGGCCCTCTGTGGTGTTTCTCTATCAGGGCTATGGGTGGGCCCATGGTTAAGTGAACAAGCCCCTATCCCCTCTTTATACCAGACTTCCTGGGCAGTACCTACTCATTGCCACCAGCTCAGACAGAATACTTGAGTATGAAGACAAGAGTTATGTGCAGGGTTGGCAGGGGTACTGCACAGGAACCTTGTTGAAAGAGCCAGGCAGCTAAGAGCAGGCAGGCTCTGCCATTCTCTTTGTCCTCCCTTCACCATCCTGCTGTCTGTACCTCCTCTTCCCTGCCTGACACCTCTGACCCCAGAAGACAGCCCCAAACACATACACACACCTACCTGAGCACAAAGCCTGAAACTAACCAAAAGATGAAAGCCACCAAAGCCTTCTCCCTGAGCCTCTGTTTGCTCTCTCTGAATAGGGCTACTGATGACTTGTGCCTCCCAGTGATGCTGCAAGGTTGTTGGAGGCTTAGCATACCTGCTCACACTTCCAGAGGATGTGGAGTTCCCTCTCCCCTTCCTCCCATCCCCCAGCACTTTGAAAGCCAAAACCGACCTGCTCAGGGATGTGACATGACAGACATTAATTAGCCCTCTTTTCTCCCAGGTTCTCCAATATACCAGGTTCCAGGCGAATCCCAGAAGGCTCCCTAAACTCCCCAGATTCCCTGGATCTCAGTCAGAGACATAGGCCATCTCAAGGGACAAGGAGCACATGCCAGGCAGCCAGAGATTCCTGGTTCAGTTCTTAGTACAGCTGCCTCCTGAACTGTGTGAACTTAGGAAAATTACTTTACTTCTCTGTGCTTCTGTTGGCTCCTCTGTAAGAGGAAGATACCATTTCATTCTATGCTCCCTCGTATATGAAAGCCAGCTACATATCCTTTTTTGTTTTGTTTTTGCTTTGCAGTATTAGGTATCAAACCTAGGTCCTAATACATGGGAAGCAAATGTTCACCCATAGAGCTAGGGCTCGGCCACCCATGAGGTTACTGACTGAGTCTTGCACTTCCCTACACAGTCTTGTTTTTTAGAGTTACATGAGCTTTTTAGCCAAAAGCAGGGAGGTCAGGGCCAGGGCCTGGCTGCCTGGTAGAGACCTCTAATAGGTTGTCACCTGCAGAAAGTAGTCCCATCCCCTACCCAGTGAGGAAAGGAGAGAGATGGTGACAGGGATGGAGATACTACAGGGCTTCTATAAAGTGGTTTTTTAGCAGAGATGCATAGAAATGAGGGACAAGGTTGGCAGACATCTATGGGGAAGAGTATGGCAGGTGGTGGGAGCTGTGACACCAGGGTCCTGAGGAGGAAGTGTGCCCAGTCATCAGGAAGCCAGTGGAAAGTGGAGCAGTGAGAGGCAGGGGTCTGGGGGTGGGGCAAGGGAGGGTATCCCATGGAGCCTGTGCATCAGAGAATGGAATTCAAGTTTGCTGTCAGTGAGAAGCCCACACACTTTTAATATATCTTGGTATGTTCCTGGACGAGACTCTTGCCTTCCTGCTGTTCCCCTGCTGCCCATAGACTCAGCTCCACAGGCATGGTGAGGGGGGTCCTCATCCTTGACCCATCAGATTTTGAGTTCACCCTGAACTGTTACTTGTTTCTTCCTGGCCCATGGGGGTTCAGGTTTATTGATCACCTGTACCCCCACATCATCAGTGAATCTTGAGTAGGATCTAACTTAAGGGTGCTGTCACATCTGTGTCCCAAGAACCTCAGGACAATGGGGTAGGCACAGCCTCTCCTCGGCCTGAGGTGGCAGTGGAGGGTCCCACCACCTGGTTTACATAGGAAGCAGGCTCTGTGGCAGCCTGTTTGCCAGCTGTCCATGGGCCAGGTGCCATGTGTAAAAGTGGCAGGGAAAGCCACAGACCTCGCTAGTTAGAAATAAATAAATGTGGCCTACCAGAAAGCAGCTGGAGCAGGAAAAACCAGGGACCACAGGGCTGCACCAAAGTGGGTCATCTCAGTACCCACAGCTCAGTACAACCTGTGTGGATTTTTTTCTTATTATTTTTTTCATGCCTTCCTTTCCTCCCTTTTTCTTTTGCCTTTTCCTCCTCCGGACAGATTCACAGAGGCTCCCTAGCCAATTAGGCCAAATTGCAGGATGAGAGCCATGAATCATGGTCAGCTCACTCCCCATCTCCCCAATGCCACAGCCCCCCAGGAAGATAATAAACAATGTAATCACAGAATTAAAAAATAATCAGTGGTCATAAATAATGCAGGATCCCCAGTTATGTAACCGGCTGCCCAGGGAGCTGGGAAAGAGGGAAGGAGTGGGGACACTGGGTCTGGGACACATGGTCCCTCAGCACTGGCTTTTGGGCCTCAGGGGATGTGCACCCATGAATTCACACACACATAATAATATGCACACATGCATGCATGTATACACCCACACAAGCATGCATGCGTGCATTCTTCTGAGAGGGAGTTTAGCCAGGTGTACTGGTGGTCCAGGTCTGTAACAAAGAGACCTCCCAGCCTTCTTTCAGATGGCCTACAGCTGTGTTTGTAGAGTGGGCCAGTGTCTGTGGCACAATGGTGGGTGAAACAGACCCAACTTTGCCCTCTCTTAGGCTTACTGTCTAGTAGGGAGGCAGACATCAACCACATCACAACATACATGCATAAAAGTATAGCTGTGACCAATATCGCCCTCAGCTGGGGACCAGCAGGCTTCTTCCAGGAAGTGAGAATGGATGGTAGGAGGGAGGGCATGCCAGGTGAGCCCAGTGGCAGCTGGAGCTCCAGCTCTATAAAATGTGCAGAGATGAGGGGGAGGCCATTTGCTGGAGGGGAAAGGGGGTGGTGTTTGGAAGGCTCAGAAGTTTGGAGAACAGGGAAGGGTTGGAGGCAGAGGGGTGATATGGTCCTAATGCTGATCAGGAAATCTATTGCAGAGCATGGAGCAGAAACTGGCAGTTGGTGAGCAAGGCTGAGATCAAGACAGACTGGGGACACCCTTGGGACAGGGACTAGGTTCTATCTCAGCCCTGTCCCCCCAAGCCCTCATTATTGGCCCCTCTGGGACAGAGTAGTCTTGTTTGTAAGACGCCAGACCCAGGAGTCACGACTCCACTTCTGGCTTTAACTCAGCTCTTTCCAGGTGCTAGGCCTCAGTTTCCCTGTCAGCAAGCGCAGTAGCACGAGTAAATTCAGCAGTCTCTCTCTAGTACCCCCAGCTTAGAGATTTTTCTGGTTCTTTCTCCTTTCTCCCCCTTTTTCCTTCTGTGTATATAATTATTTCTCTGCACTCCAAGACAATCCCAAATTACATGTAGGCAAAATGATTATTAAATCTCGGAGAGAAATCACGTATTTCAAGACAGCCAGAGTGGAGAGGCAGGTAGCACGGGCTTGTTCCATACTAGCTTTCCACGTTGACCTGTGAAACTAGACACCAGGGAAGGGTTAGTGGGTTTATGAGCTGTGCAACCTTAATCATGACTGATCATGACCCTACACAGAAGCTGGGTACTGTGGGCATGTAGCTTCCCTTTCTCATCCTCACTTCTGTCACTTATCAAGTCATTGGGAAATCAGATAGGCCTCATGGACCTCTCAGCCCCTTTGTGTTCTGAATGGACACACCCACACTTTAGGCAAAAATGGGCAATCTTGGTACATGGGCCGTGGAAGGCAAACCTACCATACTCCAGCATTCTGAACAGGCACTGAAAGCTGCCTGTCAGCATGGCATTTCTTAGGTGAAAACCTGACTCCAATCTGCTCTTGGGTCTGGGTGTAAGCTCATGCTCACTGGTGCGAGGTAGATGTTGCTGTTCTACACTGCTCTGCATGCGTTCCCAGGGGCATTGGGTTAGGTCTTCAAAGTGACTCTCAGGCAGAGAAAATTCTGTTGGAATTCTTTTGTTGAAGAAACAGGCTGAAAGCTGAATAACTTGATTAAGGTTGCACAGCTCGTAAGTAGTGAAGTCAGGGTTGGAGTCCAGTATTGGCTACAGAGCCCAGGTATGGACAGGTTTGGTTGTTCTGACACTGTAGTTTAAAATATGGTGATATATTGTCCATCTTCATCTCCCTGATCAAGGAGAGGAGTATAAGAGTCAGAGACCACAATTCCAAACTGGATTATCACCTGCCTTCAATTCCACTGCCAAGAGAGGGCAGACGTGAGACCTAAAGACCACCTCCCTCTCTCCCACTGTATTCATGCAGAACCAGAAGAGGATGCTAATGAAAGGAAGGGATCCAAATGAGAACAGCTGGCCAGCCAGGGGTTCCTCAGTGAAAGGACGTGCCTGGGTTCCCAGGCTTCTAGGTTCCTGTTGGGCACACCTGGGATATCCCTACTATCTGTCCCTCAGGCCTGGGACCTGACGGTGCTCATTCCTGCTGAGCTCCAAGAAGCCGGACTTCTCTGCTCAGCCTGGCTTCAGCTGAGTCTTTTGGATCTCAGCCAAGCCATTCAACTCCAGCTTCCTCCTGGCACCCCCAGCCTCGGGCTGCAACAGCTGGTGACAGTCACCGATCAGGGAGTCCCATCTGAGCGTGTAGCTGCCTTAATGGCAGATCCACTCCTGAGGCTGCCCCAGCACCCAAGCCACCAGGTCAGTGCCTTTCAAAACAAGAGGCAACAACTGGTAGCATGATGATCTCGTGGATGTAGAGTGGAAAGTCTGGCACGTAGTAGGTGATCCAAGGCATGAAATGTTGTCACATTGATCCCAGGGCTCCTCCCGCTGTCCTCAATGCTCCCTGAGAAGCTCTTCTGCTGCCTTTGGCCAGGTGGTAAATGATTTTGAGTTCCAGCAAGCTTAGATGACTTGCCCAAAGTCTGTCCCCCAGGTGTGCTGACTCCTCCAGTTTGCTGCAGGCCATAGCAGAGAAGTTCTATCCCTGGCTTAGGGCATCCACTACCTGAACACCTTCTCATACTGACTCTTACAGACCCAGATGCCTAGAATCTCCCTCAGAAGTAAACTGGCTCACCCACTTAGAGATTGAGAAACAGACCTTAAGAGAAATAGGGACAGTCAGCTCACTTGCGGATAGAGCCCATCTCCTACTGACCCAGGTGCTGCAGGCAGTGTTTTTATGCTTTTCCTCGGAGCACTTGCCACCCATCCCTCACCGTGCATGAAACAGCATCTCATGCTAGCAGTTCCCAGTAATGAGTATTGGGTTAGGGCTTGCTTAGTTAACTTATTAACTGACCACCCTGAGCCCAGGCAGAGAATGCCAGCCAGATGCTGGGAGCTGGATGCCGTTCCTGATATCTTTGTCCCTGAGTCTCTGTGGCTCGGGCACTTGTTCCCTCCACTGCTTTTTTATTGCTTTATGTTTGAGTCTTGGCCCGACTCTGCTCTCTTCACCCTCATGCTCTATCCTCTCTCTAGGCCTTTGCCTAACCTGCCTCCCTCCCTTGCTGTGTTCTACCCTGATATATGTGCTGACAACAGCACAAGCAGGTGTATATCTGCAGGCAGGGCTGCCTGCCCAGAGGCCAGGCAGGCAGAGCAGGGTACAGTGACCTCCACAGATGAGCTGCCCCATGAGTGGCTTTAACAATCATCCCTGGGCCAGGGTGGATGGTCTCTTTATTGCTTCCCAAAGAATGCTGGCTTTGTTCCTTTTCCCAACAAGCTGAGATTGATCTCCATTCATCAGTGGGCAGGGAAGGCAAGGAGGGAGGAGGTTCCAGAGCACGAGGGTAGAAGGGGAGGGTGACTCAGCCAGTGCCACACACCTGTTGTTCCAGTCCCCAGGATTGGAAAGAGATCCCTTAGTGAGTCACTAACTAATGGGTCCAGGATGCTTTAGTAAGACTGGGTAGTGTCTTCTGCCATTTCTATCCACTGACTTCAAGTCCAGCTACCACAGTACAGCCAGCAGCTGGGAGACCTCCAGGTTTGCTGGAGTCCCTCAATCCCTTCTATCTGACCCTCTCTCAATCAGTATAAGCTTAAGCCCTGTTCACTACAGCATCTTCATTCCAAAGAACAGCTGTATTTGAGAGAGGAGGATGTGTGAATGAATAGGTGCCTGGTGGAGAGCAATAACCCTCCCTCCAGTGGACAGCACAGGCTTGGCTTGTCCAACTTGGCTTTGTGTTTGTTTGAGACTGAGTCTCTCACTGGCCTGGAACTTGCCAAGTAGGCTTGGCTAGCTGGTCAGCAAGCCTCAGGGATCCTCCTGTCTCCAATTCCCTGGAGCTAGATTATAAGCATAACCATGTCCAGCTTTTCTTTTTCTAAAGATGGGTTCTAGGAATCAAACCCAAGTCCTCATGTTTGTAAGGCAAGCTCTTTACCAGCTGAGCTATTTTCTCAATCCCAATTTGGGCCCTTAACAGTGCAAACAGACCTGTGACTTCCGTTCAGCCACCATCTTTCAGAGTCACCTGCCAGGAGGTCTTCAGGGCAGGACAGAGGCACACACACACCTAGCCCCTCTCACCTCCTCTCCCTTCCCTGGCCAGGTGGTGAGTCAGATCGACAAGCTAACTTCTGACTTTGACTTTGAACTGGAGCCAGACGACTGGACCACGGCCACTGTGAGCAGCACCTCCAGCAGTGACAAGGCAGGTGTGGGCGGCCCCTTTGACCTGGGCCACCTGGACTTCATGACAGCCGATATCCTCTCAGACAGCTGGGAGTTCTGTTCCTTCCTGGATGTCTCTACACCATCAGACTCTGTGGATGGCCCTGAGGCACCACGGCCAGGCACAGGCCCTGACTACCAGCTCATGAATGGTGGGATGCCTATCCCCAATGGGCCACGAGTAGAGACACCAGACTCTTCCAGTGAAGAGGCCTTCAGCGCTGGCCCTGCAAAGGGTCAGGTACCCCAGCGGACCCCAGGGACAAGGGAGAGGGTACGGTTCAGTGACAAAGTGCTCTACCACGCTCTGTGCTGTGATGATGAAGAAGGGGATGGTGAGGAGGAAGGAGAGGAGGAAGCAGGCCTGGCCCCAGAGCTGCCCCATGTGGAGCCACACACAGGCCCCCTCAAGCCCTCCCCAGCCCCATACAAGACCAGGCGCTCTCCGTTGACCACCCGACGCTTGGGCCCCACGTTGGCCCCAGAACAGACCCGGAGGGTCACAAGGAACAGCAGCACCCAGACAGTATCAGACAAGAGCACGCAGACAGTGCTGCCCTATACGTCCACCAAACAGAAAGCCAAGGGCAAGAACTAGGGGCTGGGGAGGGGGGATGCATAGAGCTATAAATATATATATATATATATATTTAAACAAACACAGTCATAATAAAATTCATAAATACTAAGGATCCGGGCCCATAGGCCCTAAAGCCTTCAAGAAAGATCATCCTAACACAATCAGATGCTCAGAGTTTACCGTCCCCTCCATATGGCAGGGGTCCTGAAGGGAAATGAACCTTACCTTGCCCAGTGTAAGTCCCCATAGAGTTCTGTGGCTGCTGGCCTGGGCCGTGTCCTAGAGGGAACTCAGCAGCTGGAGGCAAGCTAAGGGAAGAGTATATCCCAGGGCTCACCTGAAAGACTAAAAACTTAGGACCCAGGATTGGCATCACTGTGGCTAGACCCGTCCTCCTGGGCAGAGCTACATGGACAGACAGCCCCATCTCACACACCGCCCCACCCTGCATTTCAGGGTTGCCCCAAACACTGAGAAGGACACTGTGCTCTGGGGCAGGCCACACTGCCAGGAGGCTGGCAGTCACAGAGCCTATAGGACCCAGCTGGCCAGTCCGGAGAACCCAATCTGCTCTGATTCTTTCAGCTCCCATTCTTAGCTCCAAAGGTCAGAATTCTCAGAGCTTGGCCCTGAACAGATCCAAGTGTGTGGATAGTGATAGCAGCCATCACAGTGCTGGGAACTGAGACGTAGATGGACTTGACTGTCCACACTAGGCAGACGGGGGTCCAGTGTCTCCTACTTCTTCACACCCAAACCCTTAGCTCACCTTACTAAGTTCTGAATAGCAGTAGCAGAACTTCATCTGCAGCATGATCTCCCAGAAAGAGCATCCAAATGACCTGAGGGTGATGTTAGTCACTGTTCACATTTATTGAGCAGGCCACTCTGCTGAATGTACCATATAACATTATCTTATTGCCCCACTTTTCAGATAAGAAGACTGAGGTTCAGATACATGAAGTAACTGGCCCAAGGTCACAGAGCCTCAGATTTCCTGTCCCTGAGAACAAATAGCTTACAGGCTATGCCTGGCCCTGTTAGACAGCAGCTGCATCACCTTGGGCAAATCCATTTGCCTCCTTGAACCTTTCTACTTCCACTGTAAAATGGATCTGTTAATCTTCACCACGTCAGTAGCCATCACAGGGATCCAGCAAGTGGTGAGTGTACACACTCAAGATAAACTGGAGGTACTAAATACCTAGTGTGGTCAGTGTGGGCCAGCCCACATCTCCAGAGACTTCCAGGGTAGAGGATCTGGATAGAAGCCATTCCCACAGTTCAGAAGCCATCCTGAGTCAGAAGTATCACATGCCTTTGCCCCTGCAAACAGCTTGAGGCCAGAAGATGGCCACAGTGTGACTCATTACCCTGCCTGGAGCAGAGTGGTAAGTTCTGAACTGCTGAGAGCATCAGTCCCGAGGCCTTGCTGGGACACATTCCTATTAATGCAGAACCACAGCCCACCAGGAAGGGCCTTGGGATCTGCTAGCACCTGCTGCCCCTGCTGGAGGGGTGCTGTGTAATCCCAGAGTGAAGACTAGCAGGTTAGTCTAGAGGGAATACAAGGACATGACTGGGAAATTTGGCAGACCTACAGTACCACAGGACGAGAGCCGTCCCAACTGTGATGAAATCAGAGCCCTATAAAGCCAGTGTGGTGTGGCCACCAGAGTAGAAATCCAGTGATGGCCAGCTCAGGCTAGCTCAGACCAGTGGGCCATTATGGTCCTATTCTTCCTGAGCTAAACAGTTCCCATTCTTCCCATTCTCCCTCTGAGACTGGTTTTTCCCTCATAAGAGGTAAGATTGTTTTTCTTATCTTTTCAACCATTATGGAGATGAAACCTAGAGAGCAATTCTCATTTCATGGGGGGTGGAGGGCTGAGACCCAGGGTCAGGGTCTCTGAGAGCCCTGAGTGAGGGATTTTTTCCCTTCTTAAATCCCTCCTCTGACCCAGGTTCATATGACTGTTAGGTCACAGATAACCTCAACCACTTGTGCCCAGGTGGGACATAGAGTGAGTGTGTCCTGGTTTTGAAGTAGATATAGGTCCACCATGGTAAAGGCCCAGAAAGCTCTTAGCCTACTCACCAGATCTGGATCTCACTGATAGTGAGATAGGATTGCAAGGACTTCTTAAGACTTGAAACACAGACCATATCCACCCAGGGAGAAAAGGCATCCTAACCATCAGAACAGATGGTCCCACCCTTAGAGGACACAAAGCCATCCTGGACCCCTCCTCTACCAGGTCAGCTATCCTCCAACTCCTCCTCCCTGCCTCCAGGCCTCTGCTGGTGTCTGACTTTTCTCCTGGGGAGCATATCTGCTTCTGGGAAGTTAAGATTTCACCTCCACCTGATGTGTGAACTCTGTTGTGCTATAGGTGCTCTGGAGGAAGTAGGAGGGATCCAAGCCAGCCCTTGTAACAGAGAGGAGGCTGAGCATAATAAATAGTTCCATTTAATGAGCACATACTAGGCACTGGAATTGTGGCAGCATGTGCCTTATCACATTCATTTCTTACAGAAATTACAAGATATGTCATTTTAACGTGCCTGTTTTCCATATGGGGAAACTGAGGTTCTGAGAATTCAAGTCACTTGCTAAAGGGCATACAATATGAGTTAGGGAATGAGTATTCAACCTCAAACTCAGCTTCTTAACACTCAAATATGTGCTAGCATAAGTGTAGACATTAAGTGGCCCAAGAATCAGATGAGCCTTGGAGGGTAAGAAATGTGTTTCAAGGAGAAAGCTGGTGAACCTTCTGTTTGGGGAGAACTTGGATACTGTCAACCTGTATGTCAGAGGGCCCTGTCTCAGCCTGAAACTGAATGGATCAGATTTGACAAATATTTGTCAAATATATCAATGAGCGCCCCCTGGCAGCAAGGACATCCACTGTGCATTCATTCATTGAGCCAACACTGAAGACCTCCGGTATGGCAGATCTCACGTTGCTGGTATGTGCATGCATGCACAGACATGTACATGCATACACTTCCACATGCACATACACACACTCTCTCCCCCCTGTGAGAGTCTGGGTTAGGATGACTAGAAGCTGGACAGGAGAGAAGAACATTGTTTCAGCCTTGACAAGTCAGAGGTGTTTAGTGAGTCCAGCCTTGCCAGGATGCCTAGGGAGAAATGTCAGAAGGCAGGGGGCCAGTTTGGTGAGGAAGTCACTCAGAAACACGTCTCAGGGCTGCAGGCTCCTGGGCTGACACCGCTTTGGTAGGATAGGCACACTGCAGTGTCCTTGAGTGCCCAAGAATAAGGAAGATCCTTGCCCCTGTTTTCTAGATGTGGGGACAAGGGGCCAACTCTGTAGTTGACAAGAGGTGGTTTGATGAAACCAGGGCAGAAAGCAGGGCACACCATTCAAAGACAAGAACAGAGCCAGGCCATGTTAGCAGGGGAAAGGGTTAGGGGGGTGGGAATTAAAGAAGTAGCAGACCCAGCCCCCCAAACCCCCCTCTTGAGTCCCCTTTCTCTGTCACCACCTCTCCCACCTCCACCTGTCACCCACTTCTCCTTCCAAAACCAAGACTTGTGTAAGAAAACCAGCATTTATTGACAACCTGGTGCGTGCCAGGCACCCGGCCATGTCTTTTAACCAACACTAAATAACAGATTCAGCTGGGCCCTGTACAGAACAGGTTGTTCAATACTTATTTATTGAGCAAATGGATTAACCACAACCGTCATTTTACAGGTCAGGCAGGGAAACCAATGAACAAAGGAGGGCTTTTCAGAGTTACAAAGCAGGAATTTGTGTTACTACAGTTTGTGAAACCTATGAGAACAATGTTCATGGCCCTTCCTTTGGAATGGCGTATCCCTGGGTACCTAGAAGGGGGAACGAGGATCATTTGGGGAAGCTAGGACTTTAAAACAAAGATGGCTGGAGTGATCATGTGCTAGGTATTGGAGTAAGGTCTTATTAAAGCTGAGAGTAGATATTGGAGCAAAAATGGGGCAAAATGGAAAACTTCAGACCCCACTAGCTCTCATCAATTCACCCCATCCTCTTGACAAGGGAGGGAGGCAGAGAATTGCCTAAGCTGAGATGAGAGCCTATCTTTAAGACAAGTCAATAATGTGCTATTCAGCAGACTATCATGATAGGGATGCCCTCAACGCATAAATGAAAATGGCACAGTTAACACCTTGGTCATGTGGATAAACTAAAGCCCTTGAAAACCACTGCATCTCTCATTCTGTCCTCCACAGTCCAGCTAGGCAGGATGCTGGGGCTGTGTCCTTCTGATACACATGAGCCAGCTGGGATCTCCATGTGACCTGACTCTGCCCACCTGCCTGCCTGCCCTGCACCCCAGCCACCATTATCATTTACCTCTCCTCCTTCGGTGGTCCCCAGCAAACAATCTGAGGTGATGGAGGGGTCTTGATTGACCTCAGACCAACATTGCTTAAGGTCTGGGCCCCAAGCTGATCAGATCTGACTCCCTGCCAGGAATACTTAAACTCACACACCTGCCCGAGGCTCCGTTGTCACTCCTGCTTCTGCTGGGACAAGCAAGGGTCAGGAGCTCTGTGAAGCAGGCTCACCATGTAACAGGGACTCACCATCAGGCCTCTCTGCCTCCACCTCAGAAGTGCCATAGAAACCCAGTCTCAAGGGCTGCCCCACCTGTCTGTTCCCCAGAAGACAAAGTAGAGTGGGCTGACTCCAGGGTACAATCCATGGAAGATTTTGGAAAGAGGTCTGAGGCCCTGATGCCTTTTGGTTCTTTTTCATTTCATTTTTTGAAAAGTTCTTATTAACATATGTTAATTAAACATAATAATGTGTTTCATTATGACATTTTATGCATATATAATGTATTTTGATTAATATATAATATATTAAGCCCTCATCACCCTCTCTTGGCCCCTCCTCCTGCTGATTCCCCATACTCATCTCAACTAATATTCCTTCTACTCTCATGCCTTTTTCTTTCTTCTGTGTGTGTGTGAGAGAGCGAGAGAGAGAGAGACAGAG